TGCAGGTAAGTATCCCTGGCCTCCCCCCAATCTCTCTCTCTCTAGTACTACTCTAGCTCCTAAGAGCGCCCAGCGCTGAAGACTACTGCTAACGCTACAAGCGCCGAGCGCTGAAGACTACTGCTAGCGCTACTACTACTCCTGTAGCGCTCCTCCAGAGTGCTGCTGCCAAATCCTGAAGACTACCTCCTGCCTCCTGAACTACACGTGAAGTGCCTGGGAAGTACCTAGGAACTGCCTCCAGGCCTGCAGGGCGGGCGAGTCCTATATAGTGCTGACCCGTCCAGGAGGCTGCTCTTGCCAGTGCCAAAACATGCCAGACCCTGGCGTTGAAGCTCAACCAGGGGTCGTCTTTAAAACAAGCCCAAAATGGCATGTGCTAAAACCCTGGTTTGGTGCCTGAGTTTCAGGGCGGGTCGATCTAATGAGGGCCTGAAAATGGCCCTCAGTTTCAGGCTGAAAACACTCAGGGCCGGAAAGGCCCTGATTTAGCCTGAAACGACACAGGGCCTGTAGGCCCTTGTTTTTAGGCTTTTAAGCTGAAACGACACGGGGCCTGTAGGCCCTTGTTTTCAGGCTTTTAAGCTGAAACGACACGGGGCCTGTAGGCCCTTGTTTTCAGGCTTTTGGCCTGAAAATGTCACGGGCCTGAAAGGGGGCCCGTGCAGCCTGTTGCAGGCGCAGCATGTAACACACCCCCCTCCTTATGAAGTCAAGCCGGGGCGAGGGCGAAGCTGACGATCTGAAGGTGGAACGGGCATGCGGGTGCGATGTGGAGCCGAAGATACCAGCTTGCCTTGCATCTTGAGTTCGTAGGGCGTGAGAACATCCGGAGTTGTTGCTTGGAGTTCCGTACGGGTTAACCAACAGTCAGCTTTGTGAGTGTTGTACGCAAAGTGTACCAAGTACTCGGTTGGCCTGTTGCCATAACGTCGCTGGGATATGATGTCGCCGACCTCTTGAAAACCGTCCATAGAGGGTGGGTCTTGTGATCGTCGCCCGGGAAGACCGTCATGTTCCGCTGGCGTGTAAAGAACCAACTTGGAGCAATGAAAGACCGGGTAGACGAGCAAGTGGGCGGGCACCTGAATGGTGAAAGAAGGTCCTTCGGGTGCACCCCCAACGGGTGCCACGATCGGCCAGGGCCCCATCCATTTCGGGAGGAGCTTGCGAGAGATATCTTGTTCGAGGCTGAATTCTGCGGCGGAAACCCAAACGAGATTGCCGGCGCAGAATGGGCAAGGAAGACGCTCGCGATTGGCCTGTTGGCTCATGCGTTGCTGCGTCTTAGCCATCTGGCCGCGTGCCTTGACAAGTTGTCGCTCTCGACCGTTCGTGGAATGATTGTGTCCAACGATGAAGTGATCGGGGAGTCGTGCTCGAACTTGAAGGGCGACGTCCCATGGACGAGTTGTATGCCAACTCGATATCCGACAGCTGCTCAACCCAATCCTTTTGGTCGGGACGGATGAGAGTGCGAAGGAGAACCTGTGTGGTCTGATGCGCCCTCTTCGTTTGGCCATCGGTTTGGGGGTGGCGAGCCGAACTTGGCTTTAGAGATGAGCCTCATCGTTTGATGAGCGCCAACCAAAAATCGGACATGAACCGAGTGTCGCGGTCGCAGACGATTTCCTTGGGGTAACCTTTGGTTCGAATCCAACTGGCGTAAAGAACCTCGGCCAACTCCGGTGCCTTGGCATGATAGCGGTAAGGCAAAAACATGACAAACTTGGTGAGTCGGTCGACCACCGTGAGAATCCCATCTACACCGGTCTTGTGGTTGGGAAACGTCCCGTTGATGTCCATGGCAATCACTTCCCTTAGGAGCAAGGGGACCGGTAACGATCGCAACTCGCTGTACGAACGATGGTTGCGGGATTTGCAGCGTTGGCAAACCTCGCATGACTCGCAATAGCGTGTGACGTCGTCGAGAAGGCCGGGCCACCAAAATCGCTCGCGAAGTCGGCCAATCGTGCAATTGACTCCGAAATGTCGAGTGGCAGGAGCATCGTGGAACTCGCCAAGAAGCCGTGTATGCAAGTGAGAGTCACTCGGTATGCAAAGAAGGTCCTTCCCCGCGTGTGGACAAACAAGTACCCCTCTTGGATCCGGTAGTGAGAAGGCGCCGGATTAGGAGAGGAGCAATTCGCGTACTTGTTGGTAACGGCGGATGAAGTTGTCCTGCAAGTCGTCGCCGATCTCGAAGGTCGAGTAGACGGCGGTACAATGATCCGGACGCCGTGAAAGAGCATCGACAAAACGGTTAGACTTCCTCGGAATGTGATCGGGAAAGAAGTCAAATTGGTTGATGAAAGCCATCCAACAGGCGATGGTGCTATTGACGGTGTCTTGGGTCTTGTAGAAGACCAACGGATTGTTGTCTGTCACCCATCGGAATTGACTTCGACCAAGGAGGAAGTGCCGCCACCGCTTGAGCGCGTGGACGAAGGCGAGGAACTCCTTCTTGCGTGCATCATCAATGGAGTGCACGACGGGAACTTTCTTGCTAAAGTACTCGACCGGGTGCCAGTCCATGCCATCGTGTTGTTCGAGGACGACACCAATGCCATAGCCGGACGCATCCGTAGTGATGCGTGTAGGCAATAGCGGGTTGTGACGCCCAACCTCACGCCCGGCGCGACTTCCTGATCGGAGTGGGATGGGGGCCTGGAAGTGCGAAAAGGGGTGTACCAAGGATTTTTGGGGAAAGTGGGGGTGGAGTCCCAGGTCAGAACTGAGATCTCCTGTGGCAAGGGTTCAGGGGCATAGGTGCAATAGGGCTAAGAGGCGGGTTGCTTCAGGTCTGATGGCGGTCGATGTCGTGCGGTCATAAGGCAGATGGCATGCATGGTGCGTCAAGGGCCGTCCGATCCGTCTGTCTTGGTGACGGCGGTTCGGGGGAGGCCCGTTCGGGAGGGTTGTGATTCTTATGAGTCGGACCTTCGGGTGCAGACACGTGGCGTCTGTCGCCACACGTTATGGTTAGGCCCCGCAGTTCCAGGGGTTCGGTGGTGGCTGCATCGTCTGCAGTTTCTGCACGGCGTGCGGGGCCAGTACGAGGCGATGGAATTCCACGGTACCACCGTGAGTTGGTGAAGGAGAAGACGGAGGGGAGGAAAATTGGTAGCGACAACAACAAAGTCGGGGGATATGAAATATTGCGTGTTATACGTAGTTGGGTAGTTGGGACACCTTGGATCGCTGGTTATGGCACAACAAAACTCTCTGGGGCACAATTGGTTCTCAGTTAGGCAAGGAAATTCTGGGCGTCTCTGCCTAAGATATTCCCTTACCCAAGGTTCGAAGTACTCTGGTTCCCATGTGTACGTCATTTTGTCATTGCGGCGTAGTGGAAGCCTTCCGCACGCATCTAACTGACAAGGGGATTTCCCGATATGGTATTGGAAATTCCTATCAGCGTAGGTGCGTGAAGGAAGGAAAATTTCCCCCACCTACCGGAGGTGCCAGGCTCGTTAATGATTGCGAATTGCTGCGCGTGGATACGCGTAGGTTGCACAGATCAGATCTCGCTTACACGTATCCCCGCGGGATGTTCGCTTGTACCCAAAAAAGGTGAGAGTTTAACTTTTCATGCGAAATCGCCATGTGTCATGGACAACGACCCAATCATCTAATCACTCAGTGACCCCACAAGCAATCATGTCCGAGCATGCAAGGTGTCATTACGCATCAGTCATCGCAGCAACATCTACTAACAACGGATCAAAGCGACAAGCAATGATGATAGCTAGGCAAAAACGACAAACATATCATTCGTTCATCGCAAAACAACATCCATGCAATCAAACACTCAATAGGAAGGATTACAACTAATTACAGGTAGACACAGGCCGAAGCCGAGAAAAAGGGGAAAAAAAAAAAAAATGCCGAAAGCAAAATACGTGCGAATCACTCGAAGCCGAGATCAAAATTTATATACAAAAGTTGGGAGAAAAAGACAAAGAAAATTGCAAATCCACGTCCATCGACCTCAACTCTCTCTTTCTCTCTCTCTCTCTCTCTCTCTCTCTCTCCGATGAGGACAGTCCGTCGTCACGCACCAACCCACGAAGTCGTCACTCCGCTTAGTCCTCCTGCACCCGTCAGGTTCGCCCGCGCGCTACAGTCTGTCGTAGCCCCACGCGTCAACCCCGCGCATTCAGCACCAGCTCGTCGGGTTGCCCGACTCCCACTTCAGCTCACCTCTTACCTCGCTCGTGAGCCGACCCTCACCGATCGCGCTACCCCGAGCTTCCAACAGCTGGTTAAGAGAGCTATCTAATCGCACAGCCAAAATTTATAGCGTGCATGCAAGCGCGAAGAACACGAAATTGTAAGGACTTAGAAAGGAGATTACGAGAGGGAGCGCCTACGTCTTGCATGGCCAGACTGTGGCGTGGGGGACGTAGCCACTCTCCACGCATCAATCTGATCATGCAGCCCGTGAGCTAGACAGCCACAACAAAAAGAAAAGGAGAGAGCGGGAAAGACGAAGCTCAAGAAGAAAGATACAGTTACAATGGCGCCCGCCCAAAATTACGGTTACTTGCAATATTAAGGGCGCCGACTAATTAGAGCTCCGTTGCAGCCGCAAAAAAGAAGCGCACAAGCAGAAGGCGTTCCGTGGCAAAAGGAAATCCTAAATTCCAAAATTCCAAAATTCCTATTTAATGCGAAAATGCAAAAAACACAAATTCCGAGAAGAAAGTCCTAAGTTCCGAGAGCCGTGAAGGTTCGACAAGATTCGAAAAAGAAATTCAAAAGAAGCAAAACTTTCCGCGCGACCTCCGCGCCTAAATTTCGATAGCAGAACAAGAACGAAGCAACGTCAACCAATATTACTTGCGCGCACGCCGGCGCGCCTCTTAACCGATCGTCCCAGGACTTGCCCAGCCCTGAACCCAGCCATCCGAAAAGAAGCGACGCAAAAAGACAAAGAAGCGAGGACACCGATACTATTTCCTTTCAATCCCGATCTCCCGTAATTGGCCCAACCTTCCCATCTTAAGACCCCTCATTGTCATCGCACAGAAAATCGTGCGGAACAGAAATTGGTTCGTCACAGGGTTGTATATGCGCAAGACCTCCGCAGATAATAGCGCGACTTTGAGAGCCAAAATGATTCCCGCTCATCCTCTCCGAAGTCAAACGACCGGTCCTCACATTGAAGCTTGGTCAAGTGGGCCGCGATCTTCGAGTATCCCTTGATAAAATGTTGGTAGTAGCTGGCAAGGCCAAGGAGCGAACGGACATCCGTGACGTTCCGTGGCTCCGACCACTCTTGGATGGCTTGAATCTTGTCCGATAGTGGACTGATGCCCTTCGATGTGACAAAATGGCCCAAGTATTCCATCTCTTGCCGGACAAATTCGCACTTGTCGCAGTTGGCCTTGTACTTGGCGTGGCGGAGCGTCTCCAACACTCGTCGAAGGTGCTCAAGATGATCCTCCAATGACTGGCTATAGACGAGAATGTCGTCCAAGTAGACCAGCACAAACCGGTCCAACATCTCACGGAACTCGTTGGTCATTGCCGCTTGAAAGGTCGCCGGGGCGTTGGTGAGGCCAAAAGGCATGACCACCCACTCAAAATGCCCATACAGTGTCTTGAACGAGGATTTATAGCGATCGTTCGGTCGGATCGAAATCTGATGGTATCCCGACTTCAAATCCAACTTAGAGAAGTACTTTGTGCCGCCCAATCGCTCAAGAAGATCGTCAATACGAGAAAGAGGCCCCGAATTCTTGATGGTTTGCGTGTTGAGCTTGCGGTAGTCGATGCACAATCGTAGATCCTTGTTCTTCTTCCGTACGAAGAGAACCGACGCTCCATATGGAGAGCTACTAGGGCGGATCCAGCCCTTGTCCAACAAGTCATCGAGTTGCACGCGGAGGACCGTAAGCTCCTCCTCGCTCATGCGATAAATGCAACCTTTCGGCGGCACGACACCGGCCTCAAGAATGATCTCGTGAGAGGTTGGCCGATCCGGCACCACACCGGTAGGTGACTCGAAGATGTCGGCGAACTCGTCAAGCAGCCGCACCACACGGGAGTCCGAAGACAAGTCCATGGGTGAAGAATCGACTACCGTGACGGTCCATAGGAAGCATAGGCCTATCTCATCGGGCTGCTCGTAAGCGCAAGTAGCCCAGAATGACTTGGCCGTTACCACTTGGCACTGAATTGAAGGGTGCGGAAGAGAAATAGTACACAACACTTTGGTGCCGAAGGCGTACCGAATGGTAAGAGTCTGCCGGTGGAAGTTGACCGTGTGATCCGCACTTGCAAGCCAAGGCATTCCCAAAATAATGTCGAAGTCCGTGTCCAAAATGTCGAATGCCACCGGTTCGCATGCATGAGGTGCACAATACACCGGTACGGCCTCGATGTCGCGGTCGATAAGTTGCTGCATCCTTCCGTCCGCCAACTTGATCGCCATCGGGTTTACCTTCCTTCGAACTTGTGCGCCAAGGCCAACCTTTTGCATAAAGGCCTGACTCATAAAATTGCGAGATGCGCCGCTATCCAGCAAAGCGCTGCAGAACGCTTGCCCAACTTGGATGCGGMCATAGAGGAGCGGTGCGTTGTTGTCGTCGTACCGCTGATTGCAAAACTCGCGGGCCACCTTGGTAACATACGCAAGGATGTCCCCCACCGTGACTTCGTCATCCGTAGGCGAAGTTGGTGGTGCATAGACGGATAAGTACGTGTGAAGATGAGCGGATARTGCTGCGCATTGCGGTCCCGGCAAGCGGCCTGTGGTCGGGAGAGGAAGCCATGCGAAATCCTCGGACGTGAGCGGGTCCAATACCTCTATGTTGAACTCACGCGCCGAATCCCGTGAAGAACCACTTGAAGACGATAAGTCGCCGCTGCAGGACGGAGAAGATGCCGCACACACGTCTTGTTCTTGAGCACGGGTACCCAACATAGGAACGAGCCGGGCAACATAGTCCTCAAAGAATAAAGAAGAGGAGAACTATCGACTTCTGCATGTGCCTCGGAACGAAGGGCGGTCACCCGCGAAGTGACCAGTTCCGAAGGCGTCGAGAGTGTCGTCGACTTACTCCCGACGATGCTCAATTTCCCAATTTGCCTTTGCTTTTCGACGGGTAGCCCATTGTCTCGTGGAGATCGTTGTTACACCACAAACAATAACAGAATCTTGTGCGTGCCTTGTATGCTTGCTCAGAGAGACCGTATTGGGACCATGGGGCTAGAGCTGCTGCGCAGGGCCCGGGGCTAGATGCGGTTTTTGTCTTCGTCTTGCCGCGTCCTCGGCCTTTGCCCGGGCGGCCACCATCCCAGGCGGCTGCGAGTCTGTCCCCTTCAGTCGCAGACACAACCTCGTTAGTTTTGTCAATTGCCATTGCCGCCACGACCACGGCCACTTTCGGCCGATGCTAATCTCTGCTCGGGCCTGTCGCAGACGAACAGTGGAGGTTCTTAGCCTCCTTGTTCATGACAATAATCCGCGCGGCCTTGTCGAAGAGCTCCGCTGGTGTCGTCAGGGTGTCCTCGACGTGAGTCAAGGCATTGCCCAACGCCGGACACGACCTCGAGATGAAGTAGTGTTTGATGGCTTTGAAGACCATTTGAATGTCTGGGACGGATGTCAAGCGTTGGTACTCGGCAATCCAGTCAACAGTCGGCAGTGTGCCTTGTTCGAAGACCATCAGCTTGTCCATTGCCTTGATCTCCGGCGGCTCTACTTGGAACCGCTTATGCCACTCCGCCTTTAGATCATCCCAACTGATCTTGGTATGCAAGTCGGCAGCCACCACTCCGTACTTGGTCAGGAGATTGTCCAGCCATGCTTGGCATGCGCCCCCCGAGCGGGAGTATAAGTACGCGTGATGCTTGTGCTCACTGACGTAGTGTAGCTGCAACTTGAGTTCGAACTTACGGAACCACGGAATTGGGTCCGTCTTCGTCGAATCGTAGAAGATCTCCTGATCATCGAACTTTGGCGTTGTCTCGCGCGGTTCCGATCTCGAGTGAGTGGCGGCAGTATAGATCCGCTGCTCCAACTGTTGCGTGGCGTTTCGCTGTAACTGCACGCCGTCCTTGAGGGATCCGACGTCAATCTCCAATGCCTCGAGGCGATTGGAGGTGTTGGAAGAGCTGGCAACGGGGGCGGCGACGGTTTGTTCCAGCTGCTGGAGGCGGCGGGTGAGTTGGTCAAACACCTGATTGTATGTCTGAACCGCGTCGTCGAGGTTGTGAATGTCCTCCTGCTGTGCAATGCACGTGGCCAGGAGGTCCGTGAGACGGGAGAGGAGTAGAGCGATCTTGTTTCCACTCTCTTCCAGCTTCCCATTCTCAGCCTCGGCCCGCCAGTTCCCTGCCATTGTGAGCAAAGCTCGCTCTCCGCTGAATATCTTCTCGCGTCGTTGAAGTCATTCTTCATCGGCAGCCTTTGCTGTTGCCTCGTCTTGCTGGCGCTGCTGTTCAATTGCCAACAGACGTGCCTTTTCAGCGTCCTTTGCCTTCTTCTTTGATGCGGCTGCTACTGCATCTGACCGTTGCTTAGCTTCGGTAATCAGAAGCAGCATCCGGGCCTGATAGGCCTCGTCCGTTTCCCCGGACTTCTGGTCCATGACGGCTGTTTGCGAGCGCAAGAGCATAGACCAGGCCGGGGGCCTCCTGACGTGGCACTGCCTGCTGCTGACGTGTCCTGCTGACATGGCCTGCTGATGTGGCCTGCTGACATGGTCTGCTGACGTGGTCTGCTGACGTGGCAACTTACCAATGCCGCTGCAGGGGGTACCCGGAGACCGATAGAGAAGTTAAGACCAGATGGGGCAACAACGTAGGTGGGGAGGGGTGGGTGGGATAAATCGCCCAGATAAGAAGCCCTAATCAAAAAAAGAAAAGTTTAAACTTTGCAAAAATTTCGAGGAAAAGAAAAAAAAATACTCGTTTGCAAGTTCAGTAGGCCGCCCAATTCCCCCTGAAGTGTGAAATTATGAATGAGAAAAAAAATTGAACCTTCAGACTGCAGACGAGTGTCCGACAAGAATTCCGAAAAGAAATTACAATCAGATATTCGGAATTATGTTTAAAAAAAAAAAACGAATTTCGGAAAAAAATATTCCGGATTTCTAAATAACGAGAAATTGCAAAAGGAAATCAAAATTTTCGAGAAAACTATATTCCGGATTTCCAACAACGAAATTTCGGATTTTCAAAAGAAAAACGAAAACGGAAATTTCAGGTGTTGCGCTATTGCGATTTTCCACAACAGAAATAGTGGGAAAGCAAAATCCAAGAAGAAAAAAATAAAATTGATTTTCGGCAGTGAGGTCAAAATCGTGATTTTGGGGGCTAACTAGTGTGCTCTAATCAATCACCCAAGACTAATCAGCTACTTAGTCCCCGCACACGTGTCAGATCAGGTTGTCCTGATTCACGTGCGGTGTTCCGATACCGACTGTTACATGCCCAGTTGGGCGATGTACATATATAACCAAGGATCCGCAATGTGATGAAAATGAATGAATGGACAATGCAGTGCAAGTAGAATCTGAACAAGCAGTGTGCATTCTGATACATACAAAAATGGTGTTTTATAGCGCAATGGAAGACTTAGATACAAGTCCTGACCTGACCGGGACTGACCTCTATCACGTGGTGCCAGACAGCGCAGCAGAATGCTAGAATACCAATGACTACCCCAATCAATGTTGCAACGCAGACCAAACATACATCATCCTCATCACAAGGTGTGAAGGGGCCCTGGCGCTACACACAGGAAGAATGCGCCAGGTCCAAATCATGCACAGACGAAGAGGAGGGGAACAGACGAAGAGGATGGGGAGAGATGGGAATGTCGTCAACACCAAGTCTTTGTTACAAGTCCCAAATAATCCCTCGTCAAAATGACTGAAGCCCAATGTCGAGTCTGGATCCAAATGTCACCAAGCCCGCTCTCTCATAGTCTGCTGATGCAGTAAGTCAGGTAGCGAGAGGGTGAGAGGGAGATGGTGGACTAAGAAGAGGAAGAAGAAGAACTCTCTCTCTCTCATATGCCAGGTACTAACCTGTGAAGATGGCTCTGTGCTGCAGGTACCTCGAAGGCGAAGCTGGAGCTATGGAGCTGCAGGTAAGTATCCCTGGCCTCCCCCCAATCTCTCTCTCTCTAGTACTACTCTAGCTCCTAAGAGCGCCCAGCGCTGAAGACTACTGCTAACGCTACAAGCGCCGAGCGCTGAAGACTACTGCTAGCGCTACTACTACTCCTGCGGCGCTCCTCCAGAGTGCTGCTGCCGAATCCTGAAGACTACCTCCTGCCTCCTGAACTGCATGTGAAGTGCCTGGGAAGTACGTAGGAACTACCTCCCGGCCTGCAGGGTGGGCCAGTCTTATATAGTGCTGGCCCATCCAGGAGGCTGCTCTTGCCAGTGCCGAAACATGCCAGACCCTGGCGTTGAAGCACAACCAGGGGTTGTCTTGAAAACAGGCCCAAAATGGCGTGTGCTAAAACCCTGGTTTGGTGCCTGAGTTTCGGGGCAGGTCGATCTGATGAGGGCCTGAAAATAACCCTCAGTTTCAGGCTGAAAACACTCAGGGCCGGAAAGGCCCTGATTTAGCCTGAAACCACACAGGGCCTGTAGGCCCTTGTTTTCAGGCTTTCAGGCTGAAACGACACGGGGCCTGTAGGCCCTTGTTTTCAGGGTTTTGGCCTGAAAATGTCACGGGCCTGAAAGGGGCCCCGTGCAGCCTGTTGCAGGCAGAGCATGTAACACATCGTCTACATCAGTGCACTTAATCACCCCCGCTACTCCCCTACCACCCCTCCCCACCCACAATTGACATACACACAAACCACACCACCCCTCACCCCACCCCCCACTCTCGCCAACCCCTCACAAAGGCAAAAAGAACGTAAACCACACTCTGCACCTCCACGCAACATCACACCCCATGATCCAGCCCACACAACCTCAGCCTACCCCCCATACTCACCCCTCACCAACAAACCATCCCCACTGCCTCCCCCCCCCCCCCCCTAGCCCCCCATTGTCAAAGTACGTGCACGTGGACATGGAAGGACGCAAGGAAAAACGGATGAGAGCAGGGGTATTAAACAGCGAGAAAGGAAACTAATAGAGCAAGAAGGAAAGCATTAGAACCAGCGGAAGAAAGAGAGTACACAACAAACATTCGAATTGGAATAGGACAAATGATATTTCACGCACACGCCAAGATTAGAAAGAATCCTACATTGGATCATAGAGAGCACGCAGCATTTCCAACAATCAAGTAGCATTTTGATTTATTCCGCAGCGGAGTTATCACCATTATTTCACTCAGGTCTAACTTAGGAAAGTAACCGAGACTAACCCAACTTCACCCCGCCCCAGGGAACGAGTCAGCCCCGTCCCACCAATTTTCCCCAACCCTATTACTAAAATCTTTCTGAGCATTCTGCTGGCTCTCGATTCTATTGATTCTCCTAACACTTTCCTAGCTGAAGCACACTTGTTTCTGCCTGTATCCTCTGTCCCCCAGCGAGCGAAGGAAAGATCCCGCCCTCTGTACGCAGCGGAAATCGGAACGGACCCCGATCCCCAGGCGGGGAGGGGAACCTCTGGCCAATTTCTGACGGCCAACTGCAGTACATGGGCAGGGAAGGGGAAGCTTCGTCCAAACTTCCGCGGGACAACGAGCCACACCTCGCACTGCAGAACACTACTTACCCCAGGGAGGCCCACTGACTAGCATTCCCAACAATCGAGCAGCAGTTTGAATTATTCCGCAGCTGAGTCACCACCATTATTCCACTCGGATCTAAGAAAAAGTCAACTCCGTCCCATCAAATTTCCCCAAACTTGTTGCTGCAGTCTTTCGGAACATTTTGTTGGTGCTCGTAAGAGTCGTAACCTTTCCCTTGCTGTAGCACACCGTTTTCTGCCTGCATCCTCAGTCCCCCAACGGGCAAAGGAAAGACCCCGCCAGCTGTACACGGCTGAAATCGGAACGACCCCGTTCCCCAGGCGGGGAGGGAACCTCTGGCAATTTTTTTCGGCCAACTGCAGCACACAGGCAGGGAAGGGGAAGCTTCGAGCCTCACCCCGCATTGCAAGGCATCACTTACCCCAGGGAGGCCCACTGAGTACGTACTCTGACAGACCGACCACCACTCAGAGAAGTCACACCAGACAAGGGGATCATTCAAAAGGGAAAAACGGGAAGGAAAAAAGAAACAGCAGAACAAAGGACCGAAGGGTGGCAAAGGAAGGATTACGAATGGAAACGCAGAACTGGTTGGCAGAAAAAAACAGAGTGCCAATGATCAATAGAAAGGAAATCATAGGCAAAGAGGGGGAAAAAGAAGAGACTGTGATTTGGGAATACCCAAAAGAGGCCCTACCGATCCTTGATGAGTTCTACAGCAAACACACAGTGTCTTTGACATTTTCCAAAAAAAGACAAGAATTAAACAGAGCAGAAAAGCTTAAGTGGCTGTGGGAAAAGCTGAAAAGCATGGAAATGATCCCGGTTACAGATCCCAAAGTCACATTCCACAGTAAGGGCAGAAACACCATAATGGTGGTACCGTGGTACGCAAGGACGGCAAACAAGCAGATTTCATAAAGAATAAGTCGTTCACTTGTAACTCATCGCTGGTGTCAGTATACCCATGGACCCCAGCCAAGCCAAACTAGACAACCCCATCAAGGTACAGACAAGAACTGATGCAGAAATATTTCTGGATCCAGTTCGCTGGAGTACACGAGGGTCTGCACGGAGCGGTGAAAGCAAGACTGAAGGAAGAGGACGGCCAGTTCCCAGTCATTGACTGGATCAGACCCACGCCAGATTTTCTGATCTGCAACATGACACAATGATGGCATGCATCAACACACAGGGAGCTGTAGCTCCTCAATTGCCAGAAGCCTGGCACTTCACTGTCAAGGACAGGAATGCCCGGGTAACGGTCTCTACCAGATCGAACCCCCAATGCTTCAAATGTAGACAGCGTGGACACTTGGGAACAGACCCAGATGCCCCAAGAACGTGGATTCAGCAAGGTTCATAAATCTGAAACCAACCAGCCTGGAGGAAGTAGAGGGAGAGCCGGGTTTTTGGTTTGTCAGGGACGCCAAATACCTGGGATGGGTCTTCAATGATAACCTGGACACACCGGACTGGGTCTACCCAAAGACCGGACATCTACCCCCCTTCAGACAGCAGTTGGCAGACCAAGAACGTGGACAAGAAATCCCCCAAGATTTTCACAACAGATCCAGTCTTGAACAAAGAAAGAATACAGGAGGAAAGAAGACTGAGGGATGTGCAAATGGGCCTGGATGTAACAGGGGAGTTGGCAGAAAGAAGATTGGCAGAAATAGTGAAAGAAGGCAAAGCAAATGGAAGAGGGTCTGATCCAACAAAAAGCAGCAGGGAAACCAGTGCAGCAATACAATACACAC